GGTCCTGTGAGGAGGGTACCTCATGCCTCGTATATCATTCCAGATTACTTTGATCCATTCCATAGGAATGCTTGCAGTTGTGATTAGCTGGGGCGTATAAAAACTCACTTATTCCTGTTCATAGGTCTACTTTAAAAAACAAGATCCTCCCCCCAAAAAGAAAAAGAACTGTCCAGTCTTATACAGTCAAGCCTCACCTGACTGTCATCAACCCTTTCCAAGCAGTAGAAATTAAATAATACACAAGAAAAAGTAGAGAAAAGCAAACAATTGATAATGTCTGCATTTGGTAACATCCTTCCTCTGGCATCCCTCCACCTTCCTCTCTACCTTTTTTATTCCTACAGCATCTACCATTTCCTAGAAATAGCAACCCCTATGAATGTGAAAGAACTCCTGTACAAAATTTAACATAAGCTATCAAATTCTACGTGCCGACATTCTTAAAAGGTGCACGTCTTATTTGTATCAATGGTTTCTTTGAATATACACATTTCATCAGGTAAAGAAACCTTTGGGATTTTATCTTAAAACCACTTACGGACATAATCAAAGGTCTGAGTATCAAACAAAGCCACCTATCCATAACACATCCTGTTCACAAAAGTGTCCCAGAAACTCAATATAAACAAAATCCCTCTGTTTATTTCTAGGAGATAATACTGTGGTTTTCCGTATCCAACAGTATGCCTTACATACCCAAGGCAATTATGCTTTCTTCCTCTACTCAAACAGAGCATCTGTTGCTAACACAACACTGAAGTCCAAGTTACTTTCACAGACAAAAGAGCAGCTGGTCAAACTAATCCATTTGCTGACTTGCCACCATCAAGCTTCTGTAAGACTGCCCAGTTAACTTAATCTCTATTGTCAGATTGCATGAATCAGAACTTCCAATCCTCTTTCAAATAGGATTTAACAACTCTTTTTTGGCACCATCATTTGAAATCATTTATAATAGATATTAAGACAGAAAACATACTTTAAAACTTAAGGATAAAGGTAACAAATGGCTGGATTGAATTAGAAAAATCCTATATAATAAAAGGCTAGTATGCAAATCAACCGAACAGTGGAACAACTGGTCGCGATGACGCACACTGACCACCAAGGGGCAGCCACTCAATGCAGGAGCTGTCCCCAGTGTTCAGTGAGCTCCAACAGGGGAGTGCCGTTCACCCACAACCGAGCTCATGGCTGGCGAGGGCAATGGTGGTGGCAGGAGCTCAGTCATTTAGTCGCCCCTCACTGACCCCCATGTAGCACTAAGGAAGTCTGACTGCCGGCTTAGGCCTGCTTCCCTAAGCCATCAGTTGGATATTCCCCAAGGGCTCCTGGACTGTGAGAAGGCATAGGCTGGGCTGAGAGGACCCCCAGTCCCCCCACCTGTGCACAAATTTTGTGTATCGGGCCTCTAGTAGTTACATAATTTATCAACAAAAGGAGGAAGTGATTTTAAAGGTGAAATCATGAACTTTATAACAATACTAACAGAGTTCTCATGGGTACTAGGTACCAAATGATTTTTGAAAATTAACAGGATACTCACAATAGCCCTTTGAGATAAGAACAATTATTATCTCTATTCTATAGATGAGGAAATGGAGACACACTGCAAATTACCCATGCTCATTCAGCTCATAAATAGAACAGGAGACCTGGCTCCAAAGCCATCCTCTGAATAATTTAAAGCCCAAATCCCAAAGCCTTACAAAAGGCATATATTCAAGCAATCCTCTCTTTGCCATTTGCAATACCTAACCATTTTCCTTATACTGCCACTATTTCATTGTAACATTTTATAATAGGAAAGAAAAATCACACCAGAGATGTATTACTTACTGTCTTATTTAAAGAGAAATAAATATTCAGTTTACCTCATTATTAATTGAAGTACAATGTGAGTCAAAAGTAGGTTTACAATTGCTTGTATGGAAAATAATACATTAATATATAATAATCCGATCTAATAAATGAGTAATATGCAAATTGACTGTCACTCCAGCACACAAAGATGGTTACCCCCATGTGGTCAAAGATGGCTGCCCCCACGTGAACACAAGATGGCCACCACAAGATGACCAGCAGGGGAGGACAGTTGTAGGTGATCAGGCCAGCAGGGGAGGGCAGTTATAAGAGACCAGGCCTACAGGGGAGGGCAGTTGGGGGACCACAGGCCTGCAGGGGAGGGCAGTTGGGGGTGACCACGCCTGCAGGGGCGGGCAGTTGAGGGCAACCAGGCCTACAGGGGAGGACAGTTGGTGGGGGGCAGTCATGCAGGGGAGGGCAATTAGGGGTGACCAGGCCTACAGGGGAGGGAGTTGGGGGGAACCAGACTGGTAAGGGAGAGCAGTTGGGAGTGATGGGGGTGACAGGGAAGCAGTTAGGCATCAATCAGGCTGGCAGGGGAGTGGTTAGGGGGTGATCAGGCTGGCAGGCAGAAGTGGTTAGGGGCAATAAGGCAGGCAGGCACACAAAGCAGTTGGGAGCCAGCAGTTCTGGATTGTGAGAGGGATATTGGAAAGGGTGCAGGCTGGGCTAAGGGACAACCCCCCTACATTAATTTCATGCACTGGGCCCCTAGTACAAGAATAAACTGTTTCATATAGTCAAAACTGTAAATTTATTTTGCCCCACCCTGTATATAATTGATTCTGTAGTAATTTATTATAACAATTCATGGTTATAAGTATTAACACCAGATACTCATTTTAAGCTATAAAACAAGTTTATTAACTTAAAAATCTTATTTGATACCACCAATGAAATTCAACACATTTTTAATATTGATAAATTGATTATCAAAGTTATCACAAATAGCTATATTCGTACCAGTAAGAAAGAGCAGCTAATTCTTTGCTTCCTCTGGGGAAACGGCACATGGTATGTGTTGCTTCCTCTGGGGAAACCACACATGGTATGTGTTGGTACTGAGACACATCATGTTTGGAACGAAACTAATTAAGTTCAAATCTTAGCCCTATGGCTAGAGATATGATCTTGCAGGAGTCACAATTTCCTTGAGTCCTCATGAAAGTGAGGGATAATGCATGCCCTGGCAAAATAAGGTGATCCATATTAAAATACTTTTAAAAATTATATTTTACAGCCCTAACTGGTTTGGCTCAGTGGATAGAGCGTTGTCCTGCGGACTGAAGGGCCCCAGGTTCAATTCTGGTCGGTCAAGGGCATGTACCTTGGTTGCAGGCAAATCCCCAGTAGGAGGTGTGCAGGAGGCAGCTGACTGATGATTCTCCCTCATGGATGTTTCTAACTCTATTCCTCTCCCTTCCTCTCTGTAAAAAATCAATAAAATATATTTAAAAAAATAAAATAATAATATTTTACAGCACATAAGTGTTTCAGTGCTTATTTTTAGAAACTTTAAAAACACTGTGTTTTCATAATGAATTCTTTTACCTGCTTTTTACAATGACCCTACAAAATATTCTTACTTCTACTGCATAGATGAGGAAATAGATTAATCACAGTTAAGTGATTTGCTCCACATCACAGAGCCAGGAAACAGCAGCATGGATCCCAAGTCTCTGAACTCCAAGTCTTTGCCCTTCCATTTGCCCTGAACTAATAATATCTGTTCAGTTAACATATGACTTTTTCTAAAAAGTTAAATAAGCTGTGAGATGTTTTACAAATTTAGGCAGAGCTGTTTTAAATGTATACATATTCAAAATACACAAGCTGTAGCTTTAAAAAAAAATAGCCATAGAAATAAAAACTGAGTATACCAAACTGCGTTTCAAGAGACAATGGAATCACATTCACTTTTGTGAAATACGCTAACAGCCAACACTTAACACATCCCTCCACTGTCCTCTCATGCCCCCAGTGCTCCTGGAGGAGGTGAGTCCAGGCCAGGATAGATCTTTATAGGTCTTTCCAGCGCTTTCTAGCTAATAATAGAAAAGAATGGCCGCTTAGATATGCCCCTGTTTTCCCCTGCTACATTATTAACAACAACTGTGTTTCCTTACGGTACTATATTTCAATTACCATCCTCTAACAAAGAGAACAGGGTGGGTTTCTATATAGGGATTATGGGTGCATAGGAACAACTCACTTCTAACTGTATTCAAAACATGGGCTATCTTTTAAAAAAAATAAAATAAAAATCTCCTTTCATTGGACCTGCTAGGTCTCTAGATCCTTCCCTTAACTTGTTCGGAAGGTATAAAACATGCCACAAATCACCACTAAGGGAACAGTGATCAGCAACAGCGAACCGGCCAAGGAGGGTGCGACCGCTGCCCTGACAACTGGGAGTTTTTCCCGTCAATTCAGCCACCACACCGGCCGCTGGGACTTGCCTGGGACTCGGCCGCGAGGAGGTGGGGACGTCATCTGGAAGGACGTCCGGTCTAGTTAGCATTTCGTTATAGATTAGCATGGGCATCATGGAATAATAAAAAGAACATGGACGTGCAGCCAAATAGAAATGGATTCAAATCATAATTCTTCTACTTCCTAGGTGGGTAACTTCTAAGTCTGGTTTTTTAATCTACAAACTAGAAACTGGGTAAGATTGGGGGCCCTAGAGAAGCAAGGGCTGTGCTCGGAGTCCTGGGCCAGACCCGGCGGAGGGAAGGGCGCCCTGTGCCTTGGTTTCCCCACCTGCTCAGGGGGACAACCCTCACCCTCGTGCCGGGAGGCCTACAGCGCTGCAGACATTATTGATGGAGACAGAGGGACGGCCGCCTTCCCGTTTGCTTTACGGGGCCGGGGCCCAGGACCCAGTGGAGGGCAGAGGCCGGCCGGGGTCACCGGGCGCGGTCCCCGCAGCCGGGCGGGCGCCCCTTGGCTCCCGCGCCGGGAAGGAAGGCGGGATGGAAGGCTGGAGGGCTTCCTCTCCGCGGCGCGGCCCGGCCTCGGACCACGAGCCCACCGCCCACCGCCCACCGCCCACCGCCCACCGGGCCCGGCGCGCCCCGCCCCGCCCACCCTCCGCCCGGCCCCGCGGGCCCGCGCCCCTCCTCGCTCACTTTCTGGGCGTCCATGGCCCGAGGCTGAGTCCGCCGGGCCCGAGGCCGCGATCGAGAGCCGCGTGGGGAGGCAAAGGGAGGTCGGACACAGACACGCCGGACCGCTAGCCGGGGCCGCTGTCCTGGGCCGCGCCGCCGCCGCAGCCGCAGCCTCAGCCTCCGCCCGCAGCGCTGCCGCCCGCCCCGCCCGCCCGTCCGCGCCCCGCCCGCGCGCGCGCCGTTGTCGCCGCGGTTGCCAGGGTGAGAGGGCGGCGGCGGGGGGCGGGGCCGGGAGCGCCCGCGCACGCGCGCTGCTGCCGGGCGGGTCAGGTTGGACAGCGCTGGGTACCGGGAGGGAGTGATGGAGAGGAGGGACTGTGCGCCTTTTCTGCCCCGCGGGTCCTTTTTAAAAAATACATATTTTATTATTATTATTATTTTTTTTACAGAGAGGAAGAGAGAGGGACAGAGTCAGAAACATCCTGGAGAGAGAGTCATCGATCAGCTGCCTCTTGCACACACACCCTCTCCCCCCACACTGGGGATGTGCCCACCACCAAGGTACATGCCTCTGACCGGAATCGAACCTGGGACCCTTCAGTTCACAAGCCAACGCTCTATCCACTGAGCCAAACCGGTTTTGGCTCGCATGTCCTTTGAAAGAGGGTCTCCTTCCCCGCCTCCCTCCATCCTCTTTCCATCGCTGCAGGCCTTGGAATGGACCATGGGGCACCGAGCAGCCGGCCCGTAGGAGAGGTACGGGAGGAAAAGCTCTGGCCCTGGCCTGAGATGGGCTCTCTTTCCATCTTGCACCCCTCCCCATACTGGCGCAGGAGGAGCAGCCGGGCTAGCCCAGGCCCAGCTGTCCAGGGAGAAGGAAAGGGCTGGGATGGGGGTGTAGTGGAGACATGGGAACGGCCTGTAGGGACCTGGCCAAAATGTGGGTAGACCTTTCCCTGGGAGCCCCCCACCCCACCCCTGGGCACCTCTGCTATTTGTGATTTTTGAGCATGTCACTCTCCCTGAGCCTGATTCACCTTAGGTGAAATAAGAAATAATGTTGACTTTGCAGCGCACTGTGAGGATTAAATAATGAGTTTGAAGGGCACAGTACCCAGTTAATGCTCAGTACATTACAGTTATTAGGTGGGGAGCTAGAACCCTTTTAGTCTGGGCTGAGGGCACAGTGCAGACTGTAGAAAGCCAGGCCTCATCCATTTCGATGGCTCTGACAGGCTCAGAAAATTCAACTGGGCAATCACGTATGACGAATGAACAAAAGGGAAATGTACACTGAGTGCCTATTAGGTACCAGTTCTATAGCTTACAATCTAGTACGGGAGGCTGAGTCTTTCCTCCTCTCCCCAATTTATTTTTTTTAAACATATATTTTATTGATTTTTTACAGAGAGGAAGGGAGAGAGATAGAGAGCTAGAAACGTCAATGATAGAGAAACACCGACCAGCTGCCTCTTGCACACCCCCTAATGGGGATGTGCCCGCAACCAATGTACATGCCCTTGGCTGGAATCGAACCTGGGACCTTTCAGTCCGCAGACTGATGCTCTACCACTGAGCCAAACCAGTTTCGGCTCCTCTCCCCAATTTAAAAGATAATGTGAGGTGGCTAGAGATGTTATAGGGAAAAAAAAAAAATAAACTACTATGGGGTGAAATGGGCTCAGAGAATTGAGGGGGCTCCATTTTCCATGGGAAAGTCAGGGAAGGCCTATCTTCCAGGAGTGACCAGAGTGAAGTGAGAGAATGAACCAGCCCCAGAGAAGAGCATTCTAGAAAGAACAGCAAATACAAAGGCCTCAAGAGGGCATGAGATTTATGTTTAAGAAACAGCATTCACTCTACAAGATTTTGATTATCTCTATACAGGGGTCCCCCTGACTAGACTGATTTCCTTGACGGTGGAGATTACTTTACTGCAATCCTGTCTGCATCTGAAGTACAGAGCCACCAGACATCTAGTATGCACTCAATAAATCCTTTTTAAAATATATTTGTATTGATTTCATAGATGAAGGGAGAGGGATAGAAGCATCAATAATGAGAGAGAATCAGGGATCAGCTGCATCCTGCACACTCCTCACTGGGGATCAAGTCCACGACCAGGGCATATGCCCCCAATCAGAATCAAACCTGGGACCCCTCAGTCCACAGGCTGACGCTCCATCCATTGAGCCACACCGGCCAGGGCTCAGTAAGTCCTCATTTAGCTTAACAGATCTATAGAGGAAATGGGTTAAAAGGCACAAAAGGGAAAACAGGAACTTGGCTCAGGGTAGATGGGTAGTGCTTGAAGGCCAGGATCTCAGAACATAATTTTGTTCCTATAGGAATAATGGCATGCGGTATTGCGGAGAGAAGTTCCCTTTTTTGGTACCAAGGGAAAGGAGCCACCCAGCCCAGCTGACCCAATTCCAGGAGTGGTGAGAGCCAGCCAGGCACCCAGCAGCTAGCCACTGCTGCAGCCACGGTGGCCCGGCCGCTCCCCGCACTGCGCAAACATTGCAGCTAAGTCAGTTTTCCAGGCGGGAGAAGTGCAGCCTAGGAATTGGAGAACTTCAGAGGTCAAACACCAGACTGTGCGTTCCCCAGATTTGGCCCTGCCTGCCCTTCTGACCACCACTAAGGGGAAGAAACAGCATTTAGTGCTGTCTTCAGTTCTCTAGCTGCAAGAACATCTCCTCACTACTGTCAGAGGGCAAGTCCTGGGCACTTTATGACTGATGGGCAGAGAGAGGCTTTGGAGACAGGGAGTCGCAGCTGAAATGTGATCCGCAGGTTCTGTCACAGACCACAATCCCCGGAGCTCACTCCTGGCTGCTGGTGTCCTCCCTCCCCTGTTCTTTCCCTCCTGCCCAGGCAAGAGCCTGCAGCTTTTGACAAGAGCTTTACCCCATTTGACTTCTGCCCTTGCCAGATCTCTGTCTCTGTAGCCAGTCTGGCTCCCCTGCTCAGCTCACCCTGGCATTCTGCGTCCCCTCATTTCCATCCAGGAATAGCTAGTCTCTTCTGGCTGTGCCTTCTCTCCCAACCCATACAGGCTCTCACTCTCCTAGCTGGCCATTGACCTGCACCCCCAACCCACTCTCGCTGCTTCTGGTTTATGGGCATGTCCTTTGCCTTTTCTGTACTTACCTTTTCATGGCCAAGTCAGTCTGGAGAAATCTCACAAGTAGTTTTACTACCCTGTTTCCCAGAAAATAAGACAGTATCTTATATTAATTTTTGCTCCCAAAGATGCGCTAGGTCTTATTTTCAGGGGATGTCTTATTTTTCCATGAAGAAGAATACGGTACACATTTATTGTTAAATGAAAACAAAGGAAATTTATTATCTGTATACGGTACGGTAGTACGGTAGTTGTCAACACAAACCAGACAAACTGTGAATCCTACAGTATCAAGAATTTACTTATTTATTCAATGACAATCATGTCATCATCTTCTGGAACATCATCATAACAATCCAATTCCTGAATTTCCTGGTGAATTTCTTGTGACTCCATTTCTTTCAGAATCAGTGGGCCAAATCTCTCATGTTTAGCAATTGCATTCTGAGACAGAGCTTAGGGGGGCGGGGGGCTTATTTTCAGGGGGATGCCTTACATTTCACTCAGAAGGAAACCTGTAAGTAGATCTTATTTTCGGAGGATGTCTTATTTTCGGGGAAACACGGTAATAGACCAAAGTCGTTGTTCTCCAATGCAATAATATAAGAAGTTGCATCAGCACCACCTTAGTGCAAATCCTCAGGCTTCATCTTCAGACGGACTAAATGAGAAACTCTAGGAGTGGGGTAACCATCTGTTTTTAACAAGTCCTCCAGTTTGAGAACCATTAAATTAAGAGGAAGCCCAAAAACGGTTTGGCTCAGTGGATAGTTGTGTCACTTTCATCTCTCTGTATCTCAGTTTTCTTATTTGCAAAATGGAAGTTTAACAGTATCCACTTGAAAGCGTTGTTTTGAGGATAAGGACAATGAGTGTGAAGTGCTTGGACTAATGCCTGCCGTGTGCCAGTTATCTATTGTTATTTTCTAAAGTAAATCATTGCTTCTCACCAGGAAGCCATGGTGTCTGCGATCCCTTTGGCACCGCAATGACTGCTGGTGGGTTCAGATGGTGCCATGTCAGCGCTTCCTAGGGGAGCAAGTGTCTTGAAATCCATCCCTCATTCTGAAGGTCAATCCGAACCTTTCCCTAGAGGGAAGGTGGTGACAGGACGTGGACAACAAGGGTATGATTTACGCAGATGAGAAGGGAAGATGGGACCCCGAGCAAAGGTGAGAAACAGTGAGAACAACCCTAGGGAACGGAGAAGAAATGAATGGAAACAGCACCCTTCAATGCCCAAATGTCAGGGACGTATTAGGAAAACTTTGGAACATATAAAAGGTGAAATACTTTGCAACCATGAAAAATTATCTTTATGAAAAATACATAGCAATGTGGGAGATGGCTTACAATATTACAATTTAAAAACAAAATCTTAGAATTTGTTTCCCAAAATACAATTGGATCACATGTCTATGGTAGAAAAGTAAGTAATACATTCATCCATGTTCCCTTTGTCCATAACTTTTACCATAGGTGAAGTGGCATCATTCCTGAAAGCGTGGCCTGGTTTCCCATGGTCACATCCACCACCTACACATATGACATGTTTCCTTTTCTGCTTACATAAAAAAGAATCAAGAACAAGTACATTGGCTTTGAAATGTAAACTCGAATTTGGCATGACTTTATGATACAAAGAAAAGGATAGAGTGGGGGTGGAGAGCGAGATTAGTACCGGTCAGATTGTTAAGGTCTCTACATTCCAGGTTGGGTTTGGGACTTGAGCATGTGGTAAGTGGGAAGCCACTTACAAGTTGATGAGCAACGAGTTATTTTAGGAAACTTGACTTGGCAGGAGGAAAAGAAAGAATGAGTGGGATGTGCCCGGGCTGAGAAGTTGGCTGGGGATCCAGAGGTCCAGACCTCTCCCTTCTACTCCCTGTCCCTTAACCTTCCCTGGTTAGATTCCCCCTCTCCCCACGCCCACTCCACCACCCACCACCATTGGAATACAGTGATTAAAGTAGCATTATAAATCTTTAACTAGTTTTTCAGTCAAATGGGGAAAATATTACATTGACCATAACGAAAACGGTTGGCTTCCTTCCTAAGTCATGGAAAACAGGGATCAGCAAACCGTTTCCAGAAAGGTCCCTATAGTCAGTATTTTAGGCTTTACAGGCCATATGGCCTCTGTCACAACTATGCAACTCTGCCATCATAGAGAAAAAGCAGGCATAGACAGGACATACACGATTGGGTGTGGCTGTGTGTCCATAAAACATTATTTACATTTGGGGCTGGAATTGACTCACAGGTCATAGTTAATCAATCCCTGATCTAAAAGAACATTGTGTTATTTTTCTCAGAAAATAATTCCGTGATTCTTTGATGCCTCTAAAGCAATGGTTCTCAACCTTTCTAATGCCTCGACCCTTTAATACAGTTTCTCATGTTGTGGTGACCCCCAACCATAAAATTATTGTCCTTGCTACTTCATAATTAATTTTGCTACTGTTATGGATTGTAATGTAAATATCTGTGTTTTCCGACAGTCTTAGGCTTTACAGCAGCGACCCACAGGCTGAGAACTGCTAGCAGGGTCACCTAAGACCATCGGAAAACACAGATATTTACATTACGATGCATTAACAGTAGCAGAATTACAGCCTCCTTAATCCTCTCTCTCAGACACTTCCGCTATACCATGGCCTCACTAATGAGAGGAAGACCAGGGATAAAACGATGGGCTCATTATCACCAAAACAGTGATGGGCGGAGCAGGTGTTAACGTGGAGGGGCTCTGAATTTTGACCTAGATTTGAGCCTTGACCCTGCCAACTGTGTGATCTTAGACACAGCACACAACCTCTCCGAGCCTCCATTTGCTCAGGGGCAAAATGGAGATCATAGGGGCAGCTTTACAGAGTTTTTGGAAGGATTACAGAGTTTTTGGAAGGATTAGATGTTTGTAAAGCACTCAGCCTACTAATTGGCATGGAATAGGCGCTCAATAAATAGTTACTAGCCCACATTAGCCCTATAAATGGCATTCAAACAGGGGAGGTACTGACTGAGTGAATAGAATTCCACTGTGGAGCCAGCCTGCAGGCCAGTACTGGCACTAGAATGAGAAGCAGAGGGGATCTCTTTATTAATATACCCACGGCCAGATGAGGAGGCAACATTGAATTTGAAGGCTACTGCAAGCCAGATTTGTATCAGAGGCTTCTGATTAATTATTTATGAGGCAGCCGCACCGTGCCAAATCCACTTGGCTGTCTGAGGCTTGGGAACATGGTTGCAGGTTCCATTGCTTCCATTGAAGTAACAAGATCCTGCCCTTCATCCACATACTCTTAACAGCTGGTGAGTGGGAGAACCTTGTATAAACAGCCTCCTCTGGATTCATTCTTCCTGGCTCATGGGACCAGTCACCTTTTCTTCATCTGGAAAACAAACACATCAAGGAAATGAATGCTTCTCTCCTAAGGGAACACAACACAATGAGAAGCAATCGATAACAAAAAAAAATGGGATGGGATCATCTTTAGAGAAGAGGCTGTGAAATGTAAGAAGGCCACACACACACACACACATACACACACACACACACACACACACGCACACACACACACCACGAGAGAGATATCTGAGAGCCTAGGTCCAAATCCTGATTTTACCCCTTTTTGAGCAATTTATTTGTGGGCAAGTTAGTTACCTTCTATGCCTGCATTTCCCCATGTTTAAAATGGAGGTAATCGTGGCATGTTTCTCTATGGTTGCTGTGAGGGTTAAAAGCATGTATTAATATAAAGTGCTTAGAACACTGCCTGACACATAGTTATTCACTAAACTCCATACTTTATGCAGATTCCAATCATGTTCCCTAATGCCATCTTCTGTTCCAGGCTTCCATCCAGAAGAACATAGTTCATTTAGATTTCCTCCTATTTTAAAAGTCAAATGTAAATGAAGTATATAGTCTCCATTTTCCTCCCCTCAAATAGAAAGAAGAAGCAATCTGCATAACAAAAACCCTTCCTGTTCTCTTAACCCTCTACCCCCTCAAAGATATCCAGGCCCCAAATGATCCTTCATTTTCTTTTGTTAATATCTCCCTCTTCCTACTCTTCTTCCTGTAAAATCTTCCCATTTTATACAACTCCTTGGAGTGCCCTTCCAGTTGCTACATGAGATGCTGCCCATTTCACAGCCAGTTAGGTATCCAGTGTACTCAATTGAATTTTTTTTTTTTCAACACGCTTCTCAGAATAGAGGGTGGTATCTGGAGAACTTTATTTATTTTTTGTTAATCTTCACCTAGGATATTTTCCCAATGATTTTTAGAGAAAGTGTTAAGGTAAAAGGAAAGAGAGAGAGAGAGAGAGAGAGAGAGAGAGAGAGAGAGAGAGAGAGAGAGAGAGAGAGAGAGAAACATCTGTGTGAAGCAAACAAATAGATTTGTTGCCTCCTTGCACCAGCCAACTAGGATCAGGTATTGAGCCTGCAACGGAGGTATGTTGGAGGCTTGATCCCAAGGTACCTTCATTCCTTGACCAGAATTAAACCCTGGACCCTTCAGTCCTCAGGCTAATGCTCTATTTACTGAACCAAATTGGCTAGGGCAGAACTTTATTCTTTAAATATACTTAAAGTGTCCAAATATTAAGCTAATGAGTTAATTTTTGGCTCATGAATGCATTTTCATTAACTAAGGAATGGCCAATGAATTTTTTTATACATGTACAAATCCATGCAATACCATCCAGATTGACAGGGCTCCTGGCTACGGTTCTTGTTCCAGCTGTCATTGAGGTTAAATATTACCAAGCACAACACAAGTGATACTGTGCTGTCTCTGGTACCAGTGAAGGGGAAGAGAGGGAGCCATCTTGGGTTGTTCTGGTGACCATATAAATTGTAATAAATCTTTGACTCCTAAAGCTTCCAGGCACACAAAATCACTGTCTTCACCCACTTCTTCACACATTGCCTATCAATAATTGGGAAATCACTTTGGATAAGTTTTATGCAATCCTGCAGACCCTCTCCTCCCCCAACAAAGTGAAATAGAAAGATAAACATTCTGTTATGCACATATGATAAAGTTTTATTACCTTTAATAGGGAGTGGTCTGAATAGGAAGTTGGTCTACTAGCTAATTATTGACAAAGAGAAGGGTTATAAATCCACTGTTCAAAAACTAGAGCTGCCATTCAACTTTTTTCACCTATAAAAAAAAAATGGTAATTTTTATAGAATCAGCTTGTTGTTTTTGGTAACTTTGCAAACAGTTTATGCCAGAAAAAAAAATGTACTCAAATCAAAACTGCTTTATTGTGCACAGGGACTCAATAAATATTTACCAGATTAATTTAAGGATGCTAAAATGGTGTGTGGGGTTCTATCTACCTAAAATTTCCTAAGCTTCCAATTCTTTTTCTTTTCTTTTTTAAAAAAAATATATTTTTATTGATTTTTTACAGAGAGGAAGGGAGAGAGATAGAGAGTTAGAAACATCGATGAGAGGGCTTCTCATCATGGCGGACCCTAGAGACAAGGCGCTGCAGGACTACTGCAAGAAGCTGCTGGAGCACAAGGAGATCGACGGCCGCCTCAAGGAGTTAAGGGGACAATTAAAAGAACTTACCAAGCAGTACGAAAAGTCTGAAAATGATCTGAAGGCCCTACAAAGTGTTGGGCAGATTGTGGGTGAAGTACTTAAGCAGTTAACTGAAGAAAAATTCATTGTTAAAGCTACAAATGGACCAAGATATGTTGTGGGTTGTCGTCGACAGCTTGACAAAAGTAAGCTGAAGCCAGGAACAAGAGTTGCTTTGGATATGACTACACTAACCATCATGAGGTATTTGCCAAGAGAGGTGGATCCATTGGTTTACAACATGTCTCATGAAGACTCTGGGAATGTGTCCTATTCTGAGATTGGAGGGCTATCAGAACAGATTCGGGAATTAAGAGAGGTGATAGAATTACTTCTTACAAACCCAGAATTATTCCAGTGTGTAGGAATAATACCTCCAAAAGGCTGTTTGCTCTATGGACCACCAGGTACAAGAAAAACACTGTTGGCACGAGCTGTTGCTAGCCAGCTAGACTGCAATTTCTTTTTTTTTCTTTTCTTTTTTTTAATAATATATTTTATTGATTTTTCACAGAGAGGAAGAGAGAGGGACAGAGAGCTAGAAACGTCAATGAGAGAGAAACATTGACCAGCTGCCTCCTGCACACCCCCCACCGGGGATGTGCCCGCAACCAATGTACATGCCCTTGACCGGAATCGAACCTGAGACCCTTCAGTCCACAGACCGACGCTCTACCACTGAGCCAAACCGGCTTCGGCATAGACTGCAATTTTTTTAAGGTTGTATCTAGTTCTATTGTAGACAAGTACATTGGTGAAAGTGCTCGTCTGATCAGAGAAATGTTTAATTATGCCAGAGACCATCAGCCATGCATCATTTTTATGGATGAAATAGATGCTATTGGTGGTCGTCGGTTTTCCGAGGGGACTTCATCTGATAGAGATATTCAGAGAACTTTAATGGAGTTACTGAATCAAATGGATGGATTTGATACTCTACATAGAGTTAAAATGATCATAGCTACAAACAGACCAGATACACTGGATCCTGCTTTGCTTCGTCCAGGAAGATTAGATAGAAAAATACATATTGACTTACCAAATGAACAAGCAAGACTAGATATATTGAAAATCCATGCAGGTCCCATTACAAAGCATGGTGAAATAGATTATGAAGCAATTGTGAAGCTTTCAGATGGTTTTAATGGAGCAGACCTGAGAAATGTTTGTACTGAAGCAGGTATGTTTGCAATTCTTGCTGATCATGATTTTGTAGTACAGGAAGACTTTATGAAAGCAGTCAGAAAAGTAGCTGATTCTAAGAAGCTAGAGTCAAAATTAGACTACAAACCTGTGTAATTTATTGTGAGGATTTTGATGGCTGCATGACAGACATTGGCTTAATGTAATAATAAAGTTAAGAAAAATAATGTATGTATTGGCAATGATCTCATGAAAAGTCATGAATAAAAATATATGTGAATAACAAAACAAACAAACAAACAAACAAACGAACAGAAACATCTATGAGAGAGAAACATTAATCAGCTGTCTCCTGCACACCCCCTACTGGGGATGTGCTCACAACCAAGGTACATGCACTTGACTGGAATCGAACCTGGGACCCTTGAGTCCGCAGGCTGACGCTCTATCCACTGAGCCAAACCAGTTAGAGCTCAAATTCTTTTTCTAAAAAAAGATATTTTTATTGATTTCAAAGAGGAAGGGAGAGGGAGAGAGAGAGAAAAAGAAACATAAATGATGAGAGAGAATCATTAATCAGCTGTTCCTGCCTGCCCCAGGTGAGATGCATGGGTCAGTGTTAAATATTCAATATGGGTCTCACTATGCATTTATATAACAAAATTATTTTCAGTTATTAATAAATATGAAAAATGAAAGAAATAAACAATTAAAATGGAACATAAATTATACCTCAATTTTAAAAAGAAAAAATTGGGGGGGAGTGGGGAACAGAAGAAAATATAGATCTTCTATTGATTTAGGAGGTTAAGGAAAGACTTTTGAACAAAAAGGGGCAAAAAACACACAAATTATCAATTTGTTTATCATAAATTTAATTCATCTCTAGATAAAATATTTGATGTATATTATATCAAATACCTCTGTGAAATATGTCTGTAAATTTTGTTATGTTATATCTGTAAAATATGTCTGTAAATATCCCTAATATGTAAAAATATTTTATCCAACAGTAAGAAAATGAGCAATATTTCATAGCAAAATTGGCAAAAGACCTGAATAAAGAATTTAGAGAAGAGGAAATATAAAGTGCTGATAAATTATTGCAAACTATTTAATTCACTAATTAAAAAATGAAAATGAAAATAAGGGACTGCTATCTTTAGCCTTTAGGGCTATCAAAGGTGAATGAGAATGATGTCATGAGTATCTGCCTGGTTTGGGAAAATGTGAATATTCATAGACTTTAATGCAAATGGAAATTGGTAGAACAGTTCTAACGATCAAATTGGCAATATGTATCAACCTTCATATATTTACCTTTTGCTCTGGTAATACCATCTTAAGGAAATAAGCCACAGTGTGACAAATATTTCTCTACAATAACAAAAACATTATAAATAATCTAAAAATTTAATTAATATAAGAGACTTAAATCCACTATTAAAACTCATATTTTTGAAAAATATTTAATGATCTGAAACATGCCTACTACATATCATCTACAATGTTATATAATGTTAATTGACAAGAACAGGATATGAAAGTTTCTGAGTATGTATGTCTTATTATCAATTCCTTGAAAATAGGTATATATCTGGATACATATTTTATAAATATAGATATATAAATATATAAATC